AGTGCCGAATGCATGGACCGAGAGAGAGCGGGTGTTTGAGGAATAGGAATGGGAAATGGAAAATCCTTGATTTGGAAGGAGAAAGATTTTCGTATGAGGTCACTTTTTGAGGGGTAGTAGGCGTGTTTTTTTGTGGAGGGTGGAGAACATGGGGAGGGGGGTGATGGGGAGGGATCTGGAAGAACGTCGGGGTGAGGGGGTGAGGGGATGAGGGGGAGAAGGGTTGTTTTGTGGAGGGGTGTGAAGGGTCTCGAGGGCAGGTGGGTGTTTGAAGTGGTAGAGATGGAGAGGTGGATGGGTGGAGATATGAGATGGAGAGGGGGTGAAAGGATTGGTGCTGTAGGGTTGGGAGGTGGATGAAGGGATGGATGGATAGGTAGAAATTGGATTGGAGCGGATGTACTTTTTTGGAACTTGATTAGAGGGGTAGAGGTATAGGGATTGGGTTTGGGGGATGGGGATTGGGCTTGGGATGAGAAAGAAAGAAAACTAGGAGGTGATTGGGTTGAAAGGGTTGAAGGGGTTGAAGGCTATGTGGTTTGTGAGTTGTGAGTTGTGAGTTGTGAGTTGTGATTTGTGGATGGATGGATGGATGGATGGATGGATGGAGAGGAATGAGAAGGGAATTCTTGGCGATTGATAAAGAGAAAGGGAACGGGGGGAGGAGAGAGAAGGGGAAGGATAAGAGTGAGGGATTAAGGGGTTTAGGGGGTGGAGGCGTCAAGAGGTTGGATGTTGGGGGAGGAGGGAGGAAGGACTATGATCATGGAATGCCAGTACATGTTTGTAGGCATCTCAATGTTTTAATAGTATGGCACGATACTAAATTTGTTTGTTGGGTTTGGATAGGGCATGGGGAATCGGGATTTGAGATGAGCAATGGAGTGTGGATGATTGAGGGTGTGTATGATGAGATTAGTGAGTCTGGGAAATTAAGTATATTTAAGGGGAGCGGGAGAATTTGAAGAGATGAGGAGGAGAGAGGGGAGAGTTTGGTGGGATGGCTGAATGGTGGGCTGGTTAGCTGATTACAATTTTCTTTTGGAGAGAGGGCTCAGGAGAGGGGGGATATGGAGGTTATGTGGAGGCGGGATGTAAAGTAGTTGGGTAGATAGATAGGTTGTTTGGTTAGTAGCTTGGTAGTTAGATATGAAATTTTCTTGGTTTTGGTTTTGGTTTTTGGTTTTTTCTTAGGTATGAATTTTGGGGAGTTAGGGGGGGAGGTGAAGAGGGGGAGAGGGGTGGATGGAGAGGGATTGGATGAGTGATTATGGGTATTGAGGGGGAAAGAGAGAGGGATTGAGATAAGGAGAGGAAGAGGAAAGGAAAATCATATTTGTCTGTTTGATCATTAGACATCAGATATTTGGAATGGATTGACTGACGTAGAATACTTGGAGAGGAGAGAATAGCATTTTTTGGATTTGATTGGGCTAAGATTTGGGTTTGGGTGATAGGTGATGGATGAGTGAGTGATGGGCATAGAACGATGGAGATACGGTAGATATATTGAGAATCGAGAGGTGGTACAGGGGTTAGGCGAGAGAGGAAGGGGGGAAGAGGGGAAGAGGGACGAAGAGAGAAGGGGCATTAGTAAATAGATGGTTAGATAGGCAGATGAATGAGAATAGATTAGTAAATTGGTAAGTTGGTAGAAAGGACAGGGGAAGAGGTAGATAAGTAAGTTGATATGTGTATAAATTGGTACATAAGTAGTTTGAGATATAAAAAGTTTAGTTTCTTGGAATAAGAGGTTAAGAAAAAGGGATTAGTATGAAGAGGAGATGAAGAGTTTGAAAGGGGAGTTGGGGTGAATGAATGGATAGACGATAGTATGTATGAATACCTATGTCGAGTACTATATATAAGAAAAATAGAAGAGAGAGAAGAACAAGAAAATAAAGAATTTTTAGCTATGTCGATTTTTTTCTCTACTTCTTGAAGAGAGTTTTATAGGGTAGTCTTTCTGTTCTACGGTATACTATCTACTATCTATACTCACTCTCCGTAACATTACTTATGTTCATACTATATACTCAAGTAGTAATCGTCATATCATCTATTATATAAAGAGAGAGCTCTCTATTTCTTCTCCTTGACTATTCAAATATTGATTAATCATACTTCATATTCATGATTTATAAAGAGAAAAATGCGTTACCATCTCATCTTATCTTATCTTATCTTATCATCTTATCTATCCATCTATCCATCCCATTTTTCATTCATTCCCTGGATGGAAGAAACATGATATACTTACTCACCTAAACAATCAATCATGGAATTTCATAAAATTGCATACCAGGTTGTGAAAAAGCGGTGTGAAATTCAAAATTTTCACGTTCATTCCGGTATTCATGCACAACACGATGAAGCAGATGAACGGAGAACAAATTCGCAATTCGCCTCGCGAGGAGCGAGGAGTAATATCTCCTTTGGGATGGATGCATTTCTATGGAATGCAGGAGTGTGTGATATTGTGATGAGGCTAGGAAGAAAGGAGATTCATTTGATAGGGGATTTTACGGAGGAGAATTTAGAAGGGAGGGGGTTAGCTTAGCTTGGGTTAGGGTTAGAGTTGGGAGGTTTGGATGAGGTTTGAGATGTGATGAGGTGAGGTGATGAAGTGATATGATGTCAAACCCCCATTTATCTATGTAATCCCTTCAAAGTCAAAAGAATTAAAAAAGTATATCTAAAAAAGGATTTGAAACATGTCAAGAAAGAGAAAAAAAAGAAAATCCATGCAGATCATTAGTTGTCTAGCAAGATGTCTGTGCGAACTTTCGATGCAAATGTTAATTCTCGATCAAGATGCCCATGGGGGTGGAGAAAGTGGATGTTTTCTATGTACTTTTTTTTTCTTCTGCTTTTTCTTTTGCGTATGAGATTGGGGGCGAGGACGTAGAGTGGTCTGTGTGGTGTGAGGTATATATATGTGGATTCCTCTAGAGTCTGGAAGATGGAATTTGGATGGGGAAGTTTTGGAAGCGACAGGGAATTTGGGGAAAGGAGCAAAGCAGGATCAATTGATGAATGAATGGGTGGAGAAATTCTGGGTGGAGTTTATGGAGAAATATGATAGATAGATGGATAGATAGGTGGGATACGGGGATTGTGATTTAGAGAGATGGAGGAGAGGTGGAGAATATGACGAAATATTTTTCATGCGTTGGATGTATGGGAGCGGAGTACGCGCAAACGCACGCGAAGTATGTATGTATGTGTGCTGAATACACTTTGTGCTACAGTGTGAAATAAGCGAGGAGAGATTTCGGGAATGGTTTGTTCAGACAGCGAGCTACTTATTTGATCGATTGATCGATGGAGGGATTGACAATGTGTTGCAACTTGCCAGTGCAGTGAGACACTAGAGATGTTCTTTGGATGATGGATGCCAAAATACAATGTGTGATGCTTATGTATACTGATTGGTATGCACCAAGTATGTATGTACCATGCGTACCAAATCCCCACGAAACAAGCCACGTCTAAGAAGTCAAACCCCAGAATATGTATGTATGAGTGGAGTAGCATGGGGAATGTAAAGAGGAAAGATTTGGAAGATCTTTGAGCTTAAGACAGTATTCAGAAACTAGTGACTAATTCGATTGGGGGTGTTTCTAAGTGGCAGATTTCAGAAGTTAGAGTCATGTATTGTGGAAGGTGGGTGAAATGATGTGGAGAAGAAAAGACGAGACTCCTTCTAGTGAAGGTCTCATTCTCTTAATGCGCATCTCTTCTTGGTTGCGATTGGAATTGTGAGATTGAAGTTTTATGAAAAGGGGACAGTCGAACAGAGTGGTGTTAGTATTGACTCGAAGGTGGTTATGAATTCTTCATGCATAGTTGTGCAATACTGTATTGTATGATTAGTTGAAACATTTTGGTATTGAAAGCTTCTACGCTGTGGGATGCCCATGTAACGAAATAATGACTGTCACTACATCGATCAATACCAAAAGGATAATTAGATGGTCTAACTGAGGATGTCAAGATAATGTTACATCATGTACCATATCATACGAAATCCGCACTTCAAGGTTCAGAACGTATGACTACCCTGAGTCCGAAAGCTAGGCTGAAGAACTCTTCTGTCATTTAAGATGAATGGACGGAGGAAGATAGATAGATACCTAAACAGATTTGGAAAATCTCAACTGAATATAAGATTAATGTTTAGTGCGCTGCTGTTGAATTGGGTTTGCGGAAGCTACATTTAATTGTCTTCTCTGCTTTTGTGCGAAGTTAAGAAAATCGACAACAGATAGAAACAAGAACTAGCAAGCGAGGATGTGTTATTAGTATGATATAGATAGAGTCAACGTAAGTACCTCTGGATTAAGTCAGAAGGAATAGTTCATAAAAAGCAATTTAGTGCTGCGGAGCGAATGTATTTCTTTTGTTGGGGTACGAAATTAGGGATATGATTAGGATATACCATGAGAGAATGAAGATATGATTAGTGAGGGAGTTCTTTTTTTGTGAGTGTCTTCTCCTTTTCTCAAGTTCGCTTGTTGTTACCGGGGTTTGATCTTGAGTTAACCATTAACAAATGACTTAATCAATCGACCAAATAGCGATACGAATTATTTTCAACTGCCTAATATCACAGAGCACTATTCTCCAAGAGATAACTTTGCAAGAAAAAGAAAAAGAAAATCTCCCAGGTCCTTCTTGAGAAAGTATAATCTTCGATTCGATATGAATTTTCGAAAAGGTATATAGTCTCTTGAATTAACAGACATGACTTGACGACAATATCTAGTTCTAGGTGACATTTATATAATCATCTATATACTATTTGATGCGGGAATCGTTCTACTCTCTGACAATAGCTTCTATAATTCCATCGGCATCTGATTCATCCTATCCCATTCACATCGTTAGTGACCCTATCTATGGAGAAAAGAAAACAGAGATCTCAAAGGAAGCTTCCGAATAAAACAAACTCCTCACCCATCACACCCTCATCACAAAGAATTACAAAAAATTTCAACTCACCTCAGGAACCCAAATCCCCGTGACCTCAAACCCCGCTTTCGCAAGTAATCCCTCCATTCTTTTCCCGTCCTCTCAGTCCCCCCATTAAAAGCCATCATTGTCAAATCCAAAAGTGCATGGTATGTTGAAGCCCCTGATTCCGGTACGATCATCTCATGAATAATGAGTTTTGAGTAATTCGGTTTCATTGCGCTCTTAAGAACGCGTAGGATTTCGAGACATTTGTAGTCGGACCAGTCGTGGAGGATGTGGTGGTAGAAATAGATTCTAGAGTCTAGAAGGAAAGGGGGTGTGTGTTAGTTCAGAGAGATGGGAACTGGGAAAGAATGTGGAGGTTTGAAGATATAAGAAAGGTTAGAAAAGAATGTTCAAAAGGGGAGGTACTCTTAACAGGCTGTTCCGTAAAAAAATCATATCCGCATTTCTCTATCCCCTCGCCTAATTCACCCTTGCCAATCTCCTCCAAAACATGCGGTTGGTCTTGCAAGACCAATCTCCCCACCCCATTTTCCCTTCCACCAAACTTTTCCTTAAAAGCCATAACATCATGACCCTTCCCTCCACCCACATCTACCAACAGCGCATTATCTGCTCCTTCCACCCCCTCGAAAACCCTCTCCTCAACCGGCCACCAATCCAACCAATATTTCCGCGCTCCCATCGTATTCCCCATAAACGTATTAAAATCTCCAAGCACATTCCCAGGCATGGTACCAAAGTAATCGAAACTTTGGAGCTTAGTTCCGTGCGCGTATTGCATAAGACCATCGTGGGGGTTTGTGGGGGAGGTGTGGCTCGTTTCGAGAAAATAGCGAGGGGCGTGCAGGGCGGCTAGCATAGAGGTTGCGAATCTGATGATTTTTGGTGTTTAGCAAAGTATAGGGAGGGAAGGGGATGGGAAAGCGAGGAGAAAAGGTGAGAAAACATACAATATGCGGTGACCAGCCGCAATACCCTTCTGCGTCATAGCTTTGGTGATAGGAGTAGCCCCCAAGTTTCCTCAGCCACTTCCTTGACGAAGTTTGTAGAGGAGAGAGGTCTCAATATCCTTTCTAATATCTTATTAGTTTCATCGGTTTATTTATATTCAATGTAAAAATACAAAAAGTGTGTAAATACTTATCAACAATTCTTCCGCACCTGATAGCTCCGCCAATTTCGCTATATTAACAGGCTCATATTTAACAATATGCTCAAAAAGATTTAAATCTACTGCGATTCGGGCGCTCATGGGTATGAATGTCTATATCTCGTTTAAAATCATTAGACTAATACCTCTCTCGCCCCTCACTCATACCTCCAACTCGATAACTCTCTGGAAAAATAAGACGTACCGAAAAAGCAAGTTCCATTGCAACATTTTCCGGTGGCTCAATCGTTGCCGTAAGCGTCTTACTCAATCTCACAGCTTCTTGTTGACTTTTCGGAGAATTTCCATATGAAGTATCTGAAAGTAATGTACTCAGATTTTTTAAAATTTCTTGGGCTTCTAGATTTGCCATTTTAGGACGAATATATGTAATTCAACCGTTGAGAAATTACTACGTGATCAAAATATGCGAAACTGACTGGTGAAAAGCAATAAACATGTTAAATGGAATTCTAGGTCGACACGTCTTTATACCTTCCACATCACGTAGCTTCTAAGATTCTGTAGAACGTCATGTTTTCACTTCAGCTTACCTCAGATATGCTACACCGGAAACCGCAAGAAGTGCGGTTATGTAACACCAAAAAGGTATCGTCCGAGATAGGCTAAATTGAATCCTTGCTTAGAATGCATATGTCATGCAGTGTTTTTGCGATTAGGTTACATTTGGCTACTCTACCGCGACTCTTCTGACTCGACTGCTTCATTGAGATCATTCTTGATTGGATGATTGACAGGTCCATGTGAGCCCATAATTGATAGCTACAGGATGGGGAATTGGGGAGATGTGGAATGTGGTGAGATCATTTATGTACGTTACAACTGTTGGATTATGTGAGGCGCCGATATAGAGACAGTTGGATTCTGGAAATTTCATTTCTTCGGGATGTTATAGAGAAATTAAAACTGGGAATAAATCCACAAAGAATCCAAGGTCCCAATTCACTGTTACACTCGAACATCTGCTTCCTCTACTCTTCATACACATTCAAAGCCCAAGCAATAAACATGCGCAAGAATATTCATCAAAAGTTGCGTTATCTCCCTACTTTACTTGGAGACACCAGACATATAGTAATTCGCACTCAAATTACAAAGACTCTCCAGGACTTAGCGACTATGGTTATAGACAGTCCTTCAAACCGAGATAGATTCCAAGACGGAATTCATGAAAGATGTCGATTCTCACAACTACGTCAAATCTTCCATTAAAGATCACTTAGTCCTTATTTTGACCCAACAACAGTGAAAATTATCTGTTGGTATGTGTTATACGGTGATACCGAAATCAGCCCAAAAAGCTGATGTATTAGAGAGCTAGAATTCGATATAAAAGTATGCGCTATCGCATGCGCAACCATAGTGATCTTTTGTCAAGGATTAGGAATCTGAACATCGATAAGCGTCTTCTTAGACTATCGAGGTGAATAGCTAGCATAATTAAAAGGACTTGTGTTTGGCAATTGCATAGAAGTATCATATTCGGATCTGGAAATTGTGATTTGGGTTACTAGAGTAGATACTTTCGTGCTTAAAATCCTCTTCTTGTCCGGTGTCTCACCTGCCTCCAGACCCTCAACGTGAAGTCGTGAAGCAGATGACTGATTTGGTCAAAATAGGGTTCCTATTCAGACATGCTTAAGAAAACGCCCAATAATGATCATTGAAATGCGTAATTGCTTGCCAACGTCATCTAGAAATAAGAGCGACCTTATACCACAATTCAGGGGCGCCTGCATGTATTTATACGGATATATCTCTATATTGAAGACCCTCTTATGGCTCATGACTTATGAACAACAAGTCGATGGGGAGATTGTGGGCCTAGTCGAAATAATCCAATCGACTATCGTTGCGAGAATTATCTCTTTACGGTGGAGGAAAGTATCAATCACCCCAATGACTCTGATTTACTTTTTACTTCAGTTCCCCCACAATAAGTCATTCAGACCCGATTCGGGTATTTGGTAAGGAAAGCCCACAACCAAACAATGTTAGACTCATTGTTCCATCATACACTTCCTATTTCACCAAATTTATTAATTCGACTTTCCAACTTGGTTGACGGCCTGATCTGCCTTCTTACTGCAGTCCTCTGTATGGCATGATTGCAGCACAGCTAATAACAAGGCGTGGAATCGTTCTGGAACCTGGGTTGAGCTCATGGCTATGGCACCTTGCGTTCTGCTGATGGTCAAGCGGAATACTCATAGCGACAGGTAATGAACGTTCGTGGGAACCGAAAGATAAAGATTTTCATCTGACTTCAACAACACGCCACTAGCTCTTTACCGATAGTCTATTTTGATTGTCGGATTTCTCATCCACCTATTCGGTCGATTATTATCGACCGGTTACAGGTCCGAGATCCGTCAAAACCCCGTGAACAAGAACGTATGGTAATATGAATTCTCCAAGTTTATGACTTCTTGCCTTGTGAAAGTTGGTCGTATTGCTTTGAAGAACATGGCATCGGTATTTCTCTTTTGCCTGACCACTGTGATCTGAAGGTACTATGGGAAGAGTTTGAAGAAGTGGACTCGTACTTTGAAAGTCCATAGAATGTAGCCATTTTGAGATTTCCTCATCTGTCTATGCTCTGTCGTTTCTGCCACGATTAGAGCTAGGACTTCGTGTAGCTAGAATATCCAAATCAAAGGTTTTAGCTCGATGTATCTAGAAGCCCCAGTAAGTTTAGCTATATCCAGACATAATATTGTTTAGGTAGGCCACCTACCGCTTTCGAAGTTTAATCTGAGGTTGAGATATTGAACATTTGTTCAAGTTCACTTCTTTCTCCCTTCATCTCTTTACCCGTCTCCTTTAATCCGTGCTTTGTGCTATATTCACAATTTTCCAACCAAAATACCATCAAGGTAATTCCTCAAAAACTAGTCTCTTTTCACCTCTTCCATCCCTCCATTTGTTAGTACTCATAAACAACTCCTCACACCCCTCTAACAACCACTTCCACTTCCTCGCAAAGTTTTCCTCCACCTCCCAACTTTCCGGTATCCACGGATCACCCCAAACAATAAATCCCGTTCTTCCTCCTCCACCCTCTAAACCATACATAATATCCCTACAAAATTCGACATCATCCCATTCATCACCCCTTGAGAGTGACGAAAGGATAAGATCTCTACATCTCGGAAATGGAAAAACATCAATCTCAGGATGATGTTCTATTTCGATTTGTAGGTTTGTAGGTTTTAGTGCCAGTGGAAGATTTGATAAATCTGGTATACCCTGTGGATACTGTGTCGATGATGATGTGTTGAATGGAGAGAGAATATCATCATCCATACGATCAAGAGGTATTTTGAGGATCCCCACATTTACAGATAAAGCACGGATGATATTGAAATGAAGAAGAGTAAGTAAATAGGAGTCTGCTGAGATAGAAGTATCGGTGATATAGGAATTGAATGATCTAGAAGCGACAATACGTTTGACATCTATGTGATTGATACACATACATTCTTTTGGAGGAGGTGTAGTAGGATCAAGGATTGTGGCTCCTTGTGATTCTACGACTTTGGCTATTGCTTCGAGTTTTTTTGAGTCGGCTTTTCTACGCTGTCCTAATATTGAGATTAATACAAACAATTCATTGGATTGTAAAACGACTAGGGTTACAAACGAGAAGCCCGTTGATTCAACCGATTTTGCAATTTCCTCCTCATAACCGTACTACTGGTACCAGTCCAATCTTCCTCTAGATTCTGAATCTGTGACCTTTGCTTCATAGGCAGGATTTCAATCTGCGGCATCTCCATACATGACGTTTCGTTCATGGGGCTGCTCATATTTCCAGATTGTGGCGGTATTGGCTTAGTAGTATAACCACTTGCAAGTAAAGCAAGTGAAGTTAGAAACATGATTGATGAGTTTTTGCGAAGAGAAATGCAGCGTGCTGACCTAGCCTTACCTTTATGGCGGAGTTAAGGGGTGGTGGAACCGAGTTAGTACCATATCTGGGTGAAGCTAATGCAAGGTGCTGACATTCAGCAGGGATTTTGACGTTGCTGAGTCAGCGACGTGTTGGCATGAAAGGGAGTAATATTTGTGGTCAGCCGATAGTTGAATAATAAGTTAGTTTTCGTCTGGTTTACTTGATTCACATTTTCCAAAGCTTATTTATTGCAAACTTAGAAGTCATATCATTTCATTCGTAATTGTGGTATATGGATATCCCACTTAATCATGATCTCGCATAAGCCCTTCCGCTTCATGACCATCAGATGATCCTTCAATAGAATCGAAATCTTCATGGCCATCATCGGTAGTCTTCATCAACCCCGCCATTCGAATAGCATCCTCTTGTCCTTTCTCCACATCTACCATCCAAATGAGCGGAATAGGCAACGCAATTAAAACTGCTAAAAATCCAAATGCCGGTCGAATTTGTCCCGTTGCATCTACAATTTTACCAACAATAGCCGGTCCTACTGCCGAGCTTCCTTTATCTGTGATTGCGAATAGTGCATAGAATGCAGCTTCACTACCGGGTGGTATTAATAGACCATAAAATGATCGACAGTATGAAGATAGACCGCCCATCACCATTCCGTGAATGATACCTAGAGGGTAAATTTCATACCACTGTTGCAAACCTCCTACTCCCCAAGCCTGTACAAATGGTATAAACCCGAGAAGTCCATACAATGGAACCAATTCTAGAAGTAAAAGACAACAGACGATTATATGGTTTGTTTTCAAACTGAAACGTTTTGATATGATGGGCCAAACCGTGGCGCCGACTATCCCAGAACTTGTGGCCACTATAGAGAGCACGGCGACAGCTACAGTTCCCATCTGTAACTCAGTTCTAGCGAACAAGATAGCAGTTGCTGAAATAGTGGCCACAGCATCTGAAAGGAGAAACCAGGCAACAAGAAAAATTAAAACTTGTCGAAGTTTGACCGCAACCTTGACTGTTTTCCATAACGACTTCCAAGCGAAGATTGTGTATGACATACAAGTACGCACGAAAGCTCGTCCCTCATACAGGGCTGTTGGTAATGGTGGTCCAGGTCTATCTCGGAGCCACATAATTGATGGAATTGTGAATGTAAGCCACCAAGACCCAACGAAGAACAAGACTGTTCGCAAAGGAAGTGTTGACGAAACCCCCATTTTGTTCATGAAATATAAAATGAGAATGCAAACTACTTGTACGGAAACTGCAGCCATGTAACCAATCCCTACTCCTTTAGATGATATCTGTGTGGAAAGTTGAAGATCTGAAGAATCGGCCTTGGATCCTATATTGACCTCCTTGCCGGCTCCTCGGCGGAAGCTCTCTCTCGGCTTTCGATTACTTTGTCCGGGAGATATTGGCCGGAGAGGAACAGATGAGGAGCCATTTGAATGATCTTCATTACTCTGAGCAAGTGGATGATTCAGAACCAATAAGGGTAAGTACGAATTCAGAATGACAAAAGAGCATCCAAGGCACACAACACAAATGACAGTTAGCAGGGACCCCACTACAAAAATCTGTGGAACTACCAGAAGAAAAAGCATAGCAGACACAGATCCCGTGAAGCCAAATCCTGCTAAAAGTTTCTTACGCCAAGTACCTGGAAACTGTCAGATTAAGATAGATAATAAGATTACAAATAAACATACCATGATCAGCAACCGAGCTGACAGAGACAAGGGCAAGAGCCTGCATGAACACAGAAACAGAAAATGTGTACATTGCAAAGCTTGCTGTGGTTAACTCAGTACCAAACACGTTGATGATGCATTGATGTGTATCTGAGCCTTCAGCTCTTGACATCAATGCATTAATAGTAGCATTTGCAACAGCGGTCGCATTTTTCGCCGTGCAAGGTGTGATTTTGTCTGTAAAAAGAACGCCTTGTTCACGAGCAAGTTGTTCTAATGTAACGGGTAAGAATGAACCTGTGTACTGTGTCAACTTTGGCGTTTTCGAATTCGAGAATATAACGTACCGACAGCACAAACAGCGAAGACCTCAGCTGCCAATCCATAACAAAAAAATCCTCTCAGCTCTCGATCGGTTGTTGGACTTGTGTCTTCCGCTGGGTAGCGTGGGGCTCGTAGCCCAGAACCGCCATCTTCCATGAATTTGAAGTTACTGTGTGGGTATCATTGAATGCAAAAAAGTTCAGAAAGATGATTTTCACGCTCGAATGATATGAAGTTTTGTTGTTCTGAAGGAGAATGAGAAATGTATGTGGTTTTACTTGATTCCGTATACTGTTTTAGCGCATCGGTACGAGCGGATGTGGCTTGTTTCCGGAGTTATTCCGACTCATCAGTTGACATGTTTGTGATGTTCAAACAAATACGAAACACCATTAGTTTTAGTATTTTATAGACGATTCGAGGCTAAGAGTGTTTAGACTTTCAGAGAACACAAGCTTTATTTCAATGTCATTGCTTTCTAATGGGTATCGTAAGATGGGTACTAGATACTAAAGTGAATCTTCATGAAGGTTAATGATGTAATCAGTACTCGAATACAAGCATTCCCCACGTCGAGTTCCGGCTTATCCGGAAATCTCGTCGACGATGTTAACACCGCTTTCGGTGTGCCATTGGATTGAGAGATTGTACATAGATACTAGTGGTTGGTGATTTGGACTTGAATTTGCCTCTTTTTCAACATGGACCTCTGTGGTTGGATTGTCATGGCATTGAATTGATCGCAAATGCTATACGCTCCCCATGCGAAATTGCGAATTGACCATCCAATCTTGAGGCAATCAATCGCAACCTCCTTGAGTCTTAGCCCTGGTGGACCTTATGAAAGACTCGGCTAAATAAGCATATCTCATAATTCATGCAAATTCTTGGGCTCCCAGAGCGGACGAACTGCCATAACGTATAAAGCATTGGGCGGCATTATATTTGTTTCATCATGTTTCTGGGGAAGATGAAGGGGGAGTGGGGGAATATAACAGTAGTCATTCGACTTTTGAGCTAAAGTTATGAGTTTTGGTAAAGAGGATTACATGAATCTTAATAACGTCGACCATTGAGCACAAGATTCGCGTTGAGCTTACAAAGTCTAAGAGCAGTGAAATGGAAAGTTTGGCCCGGAGCGGCGCACCTGTAGATATTCATGGGCTATTATCATTTATAGATCAAGATCTTAACGCCTTTAGACCCTCGAATCCTAAATCGTCTGTCCACCCCCAGACAACAGAATAATGTCTTGCCAGTAGAAGCCATTCCTCAACTTCATCTAGACCTTCAAGCCTGTCCACTCTTTCTCTTTCTTTGCGTGCGACCCAATGTTCCCAGAAATCTTCTATGCTCACGGCATTAATGCCACCCTTCGCGTTACCAAACCCAAGACCTACTAGTCTATCCTTCTGATCATTAAGCGTCTTATACTTCTGCACCGTAGGCATAGTGATTCCTCTTGATGCTAGATTTTCCACCATCATTTGTCCAAAAGCATCGTGTACTCCCACTGGCTCGTAAAGAACAATCCCAATACTTGGGATCTTGTCTGTGAACCATTTTATGATGCTTTGTGCCGCGTTCACCTCAAGATAACATAAGCAACATTCGGATATCATCAGTGTGGCAATGTCACTCTTGATACCATGAAATGAACCGAGACCAATTGTGCCGGGTAGTTTCCGGAGGTCCAAAGGATGGCACACGTATCCAACTTCTGAACAAGTCTCAATAGTGCGGCTGAATCCCCATTCTGTATTTTCCTGTAGCCCACTAGCCGCCGTGAATTCTGCAAGCTCGCCATCTTTTTGTCCGATTTCAAAGAATCTTTCATTTCCGATGAGTTCTGCATGATTTTGTTGTACTAAACGATTTTTCGCAACGCATACAGATGGGAAATCAAATTCATGGTAAATGACATTATTGTGCAGGTTCTTCGCCCGAAGACGAAAATAGCGAGTATCTGTTCCCGCACCCAAAGATATTATTTGTTTTTGCTGTGAAGTAGAATTATCAGGTTGAGATAAGAAGGATTCGATGAGGAGGTCTAAAGCAGTAGTACGAGAATATGTACCTATTCATAGTCACAGATTAGCTGGTTCCGAGTAGGTTAGTGGACTGCACTCGCAGCAACGAAGGCTAACGAACCTCTATTTATGATTGGCAGCCTTCGTGTTCCACTTCCTTTGACGAAATAATGAGCAAATTGGTCATCTAGATAGCCAAGATTGACTGCACTAAGACGAGATACAGCTGCATCTGTGTCGGTACCTTGGATGGCAGTATCTTTACGATTTGTAGAGACCTCCGAATGAGGATTCAAAGGATCGCGCAGGCCTTGCCCTCTACCTCTGCCACGAGACCGCGATCCGCCTCGCAATGAGAGAAGGTTGGGTATTTGCTGTGCCGACATTTATGAGGCGCCAATTCGTTGCGTACTGAAAGACTATGTCTCGATGGCCGTGATTCTCAAAGGTAATGTATGCTGTATAACTCCAAGCTGTGGTGGGGTTCTAGCCCAAGGCTAGTTAGCCTTGGGCGAGGCTGACGATTCACTTTGAGAGCATCCCACGTGACTGTGATCATGCTCTTAGTAAGCAAGTTCCATGATATCGCCGAATTGACCATTTCCATAAAGATTTGTTCCACAGCAGGATTATTTGGGTTGCAACACGACAGTTATGATGAAAGCCATGAGCGTAACATGCGATACGAAGAAAAGAAATCCTTTTTACCGCCAGTGGCACACAGCAGGAAAAAAAGCATCCTCAGCCTTCGTATGGATTTGCAAGATGCATCCATCAGTAGCAAGCATGTTATCAGGAGGATCTGAGTAGTACTCTGAACTTGGCCAAATTCAAACAAGTCCCTGTCTCAATACACGTATCTAAAGTTTGACACTTACAATTTAGGAGTATGGAGATGAGAATATCACGAACGAATGCCGAAATTGTTGAAAGTGTCGTGATCTCCTTTTGTGATCTCCTTTCGGCATAGTTGCAAGAAGGGTTCACCTCCGCAATCGCTTGATCCCCGGTACCTTTTTTCCAATCCATACCCAGGTACCGGTATGTGCTGTGCCTCCTTGAAGTTATCCGATATTGAATGAGACTTGCCGAAAGTTTGGCTTAATATATATCAGTATGTATCCGCATTCCAGCTGGTTTCCAAAACAAACAATCGGGAGAATGCTTCCATACATATACTTAAGTCTACGCATATCTGGCGTTGTAGAAAACAAATAATTACGTCAATACCTTTCTTCTTATCTCCAAACAAACGAATGCTAGCAGTCTGAGTCTGTAACTATTGAATTGGAGAAGAAAAGGGGGGAATTGATCATCAGAGTTCAGATGTAACAATTTACGAGAAGAGGGGATGCAAATCTTTTAACGAGAAGTGTTCTTAGCATTGATTTGATTGATTCGACTTTCGTCGTGGTCTATTACGGATGTCAAATTTTATCATTCAATTGATGATATTTCCCGCCAACAGCCAAGAAAAAAACACATGGATCAGAAGCATGTCTTTCAATCAGCTCTAAACCTTATTTGGCTCATTTAATTTAAACTATCTCAATTACATGGGTCTTATCATTGGTCGATCTCTTCATTTTAATTCCCGTTCAACATTAGCGTCAGGAACACAACATTATGGCTTTTCACATATCCAATCAATCTTGGAATTGAACGGAAGATAAAAGCCTAATTGAGGTTAAATTCATGGTTTCTATCATCCAATTTCCTATACCGCCTGTGCAAAGCCTGTCAAAGACTCAATATGAACTAATGTGTGATGAGAGAGATAGGAAAGAGGAAATGGGGAAATGCCTTGACCTTTTTGGTGGGCGTTCCTAAACCATTCCTATATGGAATTGGTGACCTGCAAGCGCAGATACCTCCAACTGAACCGTTTATCCACCCGCCCACCTTCACTCCCCTACATCTTTTATCCTCGTCCTTCTCTTCAATATCAAGTGTGTTCAACGTTCACTCTTTTTTGGTTGCTCGTCGCCATTACGCTCATTAAATTTGCTACAGAAAGCACCTCACTCATTTTGAAAATTGACTCGTTATTGACATTGTTGGTATCATTATTTTGAAGGGAAAATATAACACACCAAGTTTTCGCAAACAAATACGAGAGGTAGAGAGGATATACGCAGAACAAAAAGCGCACCAAAGACATTGCAACACGAGCTGAGTTTGGTTGATCGCAGACTTCACTACTTTCACAATGAAGTTCCTCAATGTACCAATCGCAATTGCTGCCGCAGCAATCTTGTTAATACCTTGCGAAGCCAAGCTTGGCCATGGACTTTCCCATCTCGATATTCTACAAAAACGACACTCTCATAATAGGATTCATGCATCACCACGAGCAGAAGATTCTAAGAACCTGTTACAAAAGCGTGGTACTTGCGAATTTCCAACGGATGCTGGATTGGTTGCTGTTACACCCGATTCAAAAAATGCGGGATGGGCAATGAGTCCAGATCAAGCTTGTACTCCAGGCTCATATTGCCCATATGCTTGCCCTCCTGGTGAAGTGATGGCGCAATGGAATCCAAAAGCCACTTCATACACTTATCCATTGTCTATGGTATGTTGGAATAATTTTGGGCCTAATTTAAAAACTAATTGGTTCGCAGGATGGAGGATTGTACTGCGACTCAAATGGCAAAATCAGCAAACCATTCTCCAACCAACCTTATTGTGTGTCAGGAACTGGTACAGTTGGAGTCGTGAACAGCTGTGGTGGACCCGTTTCGTTCTGTCAAACGGTTCTACCTGGGAATGAGGCTATGTTAATTCCAACATCAGTGGATGGATCCTCACAGTTGGCGGTTCCAGGTACAAGCTACTGGTGTGAAACCGCAGCTCAGTGAGTATTGAACATCATCCTGTGATTTCATTATCCTAACAGTCTATAGCTACTATATCAATGCTCCAGGAGTCTCGACTGCCGATGCTTGTATTTGGGGTGATGGTTCAAAACCTATTGGAAATTGGGCACCATATGTTGCTGGAGCTAACACTGTCGCTAACGGTGATACCTACCTTAAAATTGGTTGGAACCCAATTTGGACATCCTCCTCCCTTTCAGACACCATGCCTACTTTTGGTATCAAAATCGAGTGTTCTGGGTCTGGATGTAATGGACTTCCTTGTTCAATTGATCCATCTGTTGTTGGAATTGGAGGAGTTACCAGCGCCGATCAAGCTTCAGGGGCTGGAGGTGCCAACTTTTGTGTTGTTACTGTCCCTTCAGGTCTAACTGCCGATGTTGTGGTGTTTGAGATTGGCGGTTCTGGATCTTCGGCTTCCTCGTCGTCTAAAGCTGCTTCAAGTAGTGCTTCGCCAAGCCCTTCACCAACCCCAACCCCAACTCATAGCTCATCATCTTCGATTCCAACTACTTTGTCAACTCCACCTCCATCAACTAGCAGTCCTGTCTCGTCTACATCTACATCCGCATCTACATCTTCCCCTTCTCCTTCGTCTTCCTCCTCCTCCTCCTCCTCCTCCTCCCCCTCCTCCTCTTCTTCTTCTTCCGCAATCTTATCCTTGTCGATTTCTACCAAAGCGAGCCCAACTTCCTCACTTTTCAGTCACACAACGACCTCTATCGTTGCTTCCACCTATCCGACCGACGACGCTCATGTGTTCCTTCAAGCTGGAAATTCTACTGTTGGCGCATCGAGTGTCTCCCTAGCCCAAACAGTGCTCAGCACTGGCACTGGCACTGGAGCAATGAGTCCAATCGCAAGTGCCGCTGAAACCGCTTCTGCAACAGCGTCAAGTACCAAGAAATCTGCAGCTACATCAACCGAATTATCAAACTCGGTTTTTGGCCTCGTCCTACTCCTTGCCATCAGCTGCTTAATCTAATCACTGCCATTTGATGATACTATATCCTCATTCTCATCGCATAAACTCCCATCTCCTGGATATCTTTTCAAATACTATCTTCTAATGCGTCTGGACCACGTAATATTTTCTTCGGCTTCGCCTTTATCATGACTTCACTTTCTGTCCAACACATACATTCTTATATTATATTTGCTCAACGCAACATTCACTTTTACTTCGAATTATTTATTCAAACCAAATATATCACCTATGGTGCAGGAGTTCCCGAATACTCCATATCCTAGACATGACACCTTTGAAGTCTATCGGAAACAGTTTCCTTGCCATTTTTTCTGTCGTATTTATACCCCTATTTTTATGCTTATTCGTTTCACGAATTGGAGGGAGATGGAGTGATGGATTTGAGTGTTTTTACTTGATTACTTTTTATTTTTTATTTTTATGATGCGTATATGTGATTGATGTTCATACACGATTCTTTTGGCGCGGACTTCAGTTTTTCTTGGAACGAACTTCTTACAGGAACAGTTTCTGTCCTATCTCTTTCTGGTGAAGATTGGACTGGGGGTTTGGAAAAGCGAGTGGGCTTGGCGAGCTTTACTTGGTGGGCGGGTGGCTGGACTTGGGAATTATTATACGTATAATCTTTATATCTAATGTTCAGATATGGTGATGGTTGGATGGCAGAGGGGTTGACGCTGGTGACATATGGATTGGAATTGGAAGTAGCAGATGAGAGAAGATGAGAAGGAAGAAGAAACGGCATGCTGATTTGGTGCAGAATTTGGTTGTGGAGTAGAAGACATGAGATGAGACTGAAGAGGATCGTTTGGTTATGTAGTGAAGTGATGAATCGAGTTATTATTCCGACGTTTATACCTACTTTGTTTCATTAATTTCTCATTGTGATAATACTGTGCCTATCCCTTCCACTTCCTATATGGGTGGTGGAACTTCCGACATTACAGATCCCTAACATAAATATTGTACGATGATTTTCCAATCCATACACTACGCAATATGCAATAATAGAGGAATTCTTCAATTATCCAATTCATTCCATTCCAATGCCGTCACAGAAAATAAACCCCAAATATCTCGATCCATCTCACTTGTACATCCGTCTATCAATAGTTTGTACAGAAGAAAATAGCTAGTCCCAAACTCTAAAGGACAAGATCATCACTATACCATATAAGAGTATAGATATAACCACGTTAACTAGGTATCTATCTATAAAACGAGTATTAGTGGATACTTCGAGTTGATATACCATCGGATCGAATTAGACAGTGAGACGAATTTTGGGTTTTGCGATGTAACTTTGTAACGTTTGCTGCAGTGGTGTATATGGATTGGGTTTGTTTAATATCGTTTTGGCTTGAATGGGAAGGATGTAAAGGGCGTGTATATGTGTGTGTATACTGGTACTGTTCTGCGATTATCCTATATGATTGTGGTATGTGATATAGTCCTTTTGAAAATAGACTAATTACCTATCGGGATCCATAATCGTGTATGTGCCGGATGAAAGATGAGTCTAAATGATTTCATGACAAGGCTTTTTTTATGCTCGTATATATGCATATGTATTACTTACTATGAATAATAACAGCTCCTCGTTCATTCTCGCTAAGGTGGGCCAGGTTGTATATCCATTTATTCATTTCAATGATTCTAGTACTTGTTTCAATCAAACATTGACGAATATTTAACTAGGAAATCTTAGAGGGCCTCGCTAGCAAGATTGGTATAAGAGGATACTGTTTGGCTCATGGTTTGTTGTATTGACTAGATCCCTTAAACGCTCTGAATTGTAATTCCATCTTGAATGATCTTGCGTTATTGTCCTATCAGAAATATGGAGATTTATTTGTTAAAAGTGTATATATTGTGCATATAGAAGTTACCTAGGTATGAATATTGACATTTTGAAACGAGCTCTTATATACACTTCCTCCCCACCTTCTTCCCTCATTTTTTCCCCTACTTCCAACTCTCATTTCATTTAAAGGTTAGTAGTACCAGTAGCAATCAAGTCCAACCAAGCTGCAAGTCTGTTGTCATCAATCATTAGCTATCATACTCTCCAAATTCCAATTCCTCGATAGAAATAAAGAAAGTGAGCAACTGCTACTAACCTGTATCCTGCCTTGGCAATCTGCAACTTAACCACTGGGATCGCAGCTGTATAATATCCATTGGTGCTCAAATCACCTGTCTCAACTGCCGTAACTCCCTTGGGCAAAACAGTACTGCAAACATAGGCGTTTGAATCAGATGCCCAAACCATCGAGGAGGTAACCGGATCATCGATATCAATATCTTCAGTCCAGCCTGCTTTCAAAGAAGAGTATGTTCCGGTTTTGATGGCGGTTGTGAGAGTTGCTGCCCATGTCTTGGCATCGGAAAGTGCGTAACCGCCAGTGTATTGTTCGGGAATAGCAGTATCCCAGATGGAGTGAAGATTGGTGGTTGCGCCCGCGTAGGTGACGGCGATGGTGTTTCCACCTACGTCGAGGTTTTCATCGTGGAGAGGTTGGTGGATGTCGCCGAGGAACTAGGATGTATGAGCAATGGGTGGTTATGGATATATTGACGTTTCGCCCACGACGGGACAAAAATGGTACGGAGTATTTTTTTTATGCGAGATGTCGATGTGCCTTGGAAATAACATGTGGAATAAGGAGAATGGAGACATGATAAACTCCAGAATTGGGAGAGAAAATCAGAACATACGTGAATGATCATCTAGGAAATATCAGTAATGGCTTCTACAAGGCGGATTGATGCTTACCTTAGCTGCAATGTCTAAGTTGGCGGCACTTGCAGTGCCCTTTTGTAAGATGGTTGTCTATTGTTGATTAGCATCACTTGTAAACGTCATCATTTTACGGTAGGCTCACGTAGTTTTGGATGGCGCTAACGATGCATCCTGTAGTTCCACAATCTCTGGAGTATGAAACGCCACAAGCTGAACAGGTTTTATGTCAGTATTAATTCATTTAGCAGGGTAGTTGGGTATAGCAAGAAAGTTTCCAGCAGTCATTCTACTTGGAAAAATAGTTATAGAGATCTCTAGACTCACAGGTAGGTGGGCTATCTTGAGCATCGATGTAATGGAAAGGTGCTGAGAAAGCTCCAGCAGTGGTATATCGGTATGAATCAGGCTGTAGAGGGCTTAGAATTGCATGCCGCTTTCATATTTGCATTGGAAGACTAACCCAGGTAGCAACAGTGGCCAAATAGTCTGTGGTGGTATCCCCCAAGATGCCTTGAAAATAGGTTTTGGTGGCAGTAGAGACTGCAGAAGTATGACATTAGAGATATGTGCGATATTATGGTAAGAATAAGTACTCACCAAAGTTAGTGGCAACGTATGCAACAGTATAATGTCCCAAGGTACCCCAAGCGTATGTAGCTGGGACCCATGAGGAAAGGAGGAGAGCTGCACTAGTTTGAACCTTCATGATGAAGTTGGAATGCCAAGAAAGATGGAGAAAAAAGCCGTGGGGATTGATCTGCTGTTAGAGAGGATTGCTGGTTGATCATAAGCGTGGATGGAAATACATGACTCTTTATACTTCAGACAAAGGATTATATCGTCCACATCCTAAGAGTGGCATCAATGTGGATTGTGACGTCCTACATGTGAAGCTATCCACATCGTGCTTCCCCTCCGTGATGGTGGTGATGAAAGAGGCAGGTACCACTTATTTTGCCTTCCCATTCCACCCATTTTCCACCCACCCTCAGAGATCTTCAACACCACCCACGAATAACACGTCAAAGATACGAAACGATCTCGACGTGCATATACCAAACCACTGATAGCATAAATCGGGGACGGCCGTTGTCCGCCAAGATTTTTGTTCTTCTTCAAATATATGCAAGGATTTCAAGAGTTGGTATAGAGCAATGCTCATGAGTGGAATGCCAAGCACTCGCCAGGCCACAAGCTTCTCGTTCTAGAAACATGCACGATAGCCACCATTCAACCACCTTCCCAACTTGTTGCGAATTCCCGATTATCACTGGATATCATAAATAAATTCTCAACATGAAGAGTATCGCTGCTCATTGTATGGTTGGAATTAAAAAGAGGACTAGCAACTACCGTCTTCTCCGCATATATGCAGGTCAGAGATGTATCTACAGGGACGTAGATAAAAGATAACCAATTATCTTTACATGTGTGCTTGGAGATATGAATTGAAAGGTTGCGTGGTGGTTATAAAGTATTAAAGTATTAAGGTTGTTCAGTAAGTGTTCGGGGGATCTGCTAAACTTGGAGAAGTGTGATCTTTGTCAGCGGATCCATCTTCCTATTTTGCCAATCGGCTTGCAATCGGCTTGTACACGTCCATATTTCTATATTGCATACGGAATTCCTATGTCAAGTTTCTCCATTGTCCGTCCGGCCATCGGGGATGAGGCTGCAGTTGCAAAGGGAATTCCCACAGAAATGAGCTTGTAGAAAATACTTGAATTGGTACCAGTCTACAAGCCTAGACAGATCAAGCTATCTACCACATACAAAACTGTAATAGGTATCTTTTTCCCACGAACGCCCGATTGCGCCTCGATATACAATCCTTGATACACATGATAAATTAGTTTTAGTCTTCGGCCATATCAATATCCCCATCAGCATCACTGCTCTTCCTCTTTTTCGATTTCTTCTTTTCCTTCTTCTCCCCGCTATCCCTATCTCTCTTTCTCTTCTTCTCTTTCTTCTCCCCATCCTCAGCTGGTGCCTCAAATTCTTCGGCCCTCTTCTTCATCTTCTCCTCTTTCTCCTCCCTCTGCTTTTCTATCCTTTCCTCTTGAGCTTTCCTCTCCTTTGCTTGCTTGCCCAAGAAGTACTCTCCACTCTCAATTTGTAGATCAACCTTGCTCTTCTCTTGTGCTGGTGGGAATGGGGTGTAAACCTTCTTGCTCTTGTCGGTAACATTTCTGGGTACTCTTCTCTTGTTCAAATTCCTCTTCTTGAATTGTGGCAGAAATCTATCCCAACTCTCGCCCGCTAATTCTGGGTCCTTAGCCAACTCTCGCTTGATCATTAGTTCCTTGATGTGATATATAGGATGAATGTTGGCCATGCAATCTTCGATGATTCGTCGAATCTCTTTTAGGCCTTTGTAAGGACCCATTGCTGATACAGTATTTCCTTGAACTAGTAAATAGCATTCTGTAAGGAGTTCCAACGCTTTCAAGGTGCTTCCATTTGGGCCCAAGATTCTCTGTCTTCTCTTCACGAATCGTTCCTTATTTCGAACCAGGTTACGGATCTTAATGACATCGCATGCTACACCATCTTCAAGAATCTTGATCGCTTGTGGCGCAGGCACACTTCGTGCAAGTAGCTTAATGAGATCTCGTGCGTTGAGGATAGCGGCTGGATCGTATGTCTTTCGGGTGGTCTTGACTGTCATAGAACCTTCGCGCAAATCAAGTGTCGCAGCAATACCATATTTCTCCAGCGATTTCATTATAAGTGGCCAGACTGTCTTAAGATATACTTCGCGATACTTGGGGAAGAGTGTGACGAAGGAGGACTCTTCTGTGAAGGTACCACCTGCATTGTCGGCAGGTGTAAATGCTTCAATCTAGTAGGTATTAATTAGTATTGCGCCGACCCAATGGAATTGGAAAACTTTAGAAGTCTTGGAGAATTTACCTTCCATTTATCAATATCATCTGTATCCCAAGGCTTTTCCTTATTGTATACCGAAGGCATTGTGAATGCTGATGGTGAGGGGTGTTTGACTGGTGAAGCTTTCAAAATTAAAATTCCTACTAAAAAAAAGTTATGGCAGAATAAGAATATTTTTGAGACTTTGCATTCGATCTAGGTTTCCGTAGTGCCTTGCGAGCTTGTAGCTAGGGTCATCGAAATTGGCCATTGATGTAATGATCACGTGATGCTGATCACGAGGTCCAATCTTGGGTCGGCTGGATCGGAATGTTCGTTTACCCCTGAATATTCAAGCGGAGGATTGATTGACAAGATTGACAGATTTACAGATTGCTGGTCACTGAGGCGATTAGGATTAAAGTTATCAAATCGCGTTCCACGAATTCGTCATCCATAAACGTCTTTACTCCGTACCTGTACTCAGTACAACTCGGCCCTCTTTTTACCAGCTGAAGACCCTCATCTTATGTAGGATTTCAATGGTACCTACCCGTTAATGCCGTTTATGCCGTTCATGCCGTTCATGCCAGTTTATATCATTTATGCATATCATTGATCGATTTCCGCTGATCAGCCTATCGGGGTAAATGGATATACATACACCTGAGCATCTCAGAATAGGTCCACCGTACACATTACTCCGTGTGTTTTTATTTATACGCACACATGATCAAGACAGGAAAGGACTAATCTATTGTTTCCAACTGGCTCGTGACACATTTTATTTTTATCCTTTCCTTCCTTGAGCTTCCTTCTAACCTACAGAAGTGACCGTAATCTTAAATTTCGATCTCAGGGGTAAACTAAAGATGTTCTCGATGGCTCGTTTCCAAGGATTCTTAATGGTCAGCCTTGTTAATTTCCTTGTACTCTGTTGAGATTGTCTCGATTGTTTATCGACTGCCGATTAAGCTGATCCACTCAATTATCTCAGTTCGTCAGGAACTTTCAAACCCTTGTGCCGCCTTAGCGCCATGGTCGTGGATCATCTCCTCATAACCTCCACCCGGATACATATCATTATATATCATATCGTATAGCTTCATCGAATTAGACGAATTAGACCTAGCACACCAACTGTTATGTATAGATTATGACAATTAGGGCTTGCATTGATCGCATTAGAGGATCAGGAAAGGTTACACTCAATCTGGATGATAAGCTTACTTTAAGTGATGATTGCTTCCATTCATTCTCGTTCTGTCGTGCTGCTTCTAGAAGATTGCTTTTTTTAACAGTCCATCTATCTGAATCTTGAAACTTCATATTACCATAGCTTCTTAGCAGCAGCTTTAGTGAGATGTTCCGATCTTGCATGCATCGATTGATGTGCTCAATGCTGTAACTAGAGATTTGTACAGAGAAGAGGCGATTTCGAGGACATGAAGTGGTTCAATTCAGTCATAACAATGTGAAACTCCTACGTATTGTACTCTCAATTTCAAATACATTCTTTGACTTCAACAGTAATGATGAGTAGGTAGATAACTCATTCCTCGTAGTAAAAATTGTACATTTTTGGAGCTTGTCATAATGTCATTATCAGGTACCTTGCGTCCGGGAGTATCCTTTTTATAGATTGTTTCGATTGCAGGGTAGCGCGAATGGATAAGGGGCGGCCAGGATCCAGCTGCCATTCCTTTTTCCTCAATAACTTCTTTCTCAATCTTTGCAACTGTGATTTGATACTTTGTGTTGTAACATCATTCACTGTCTCTTCATTCATCGTTCTTATATACCCAAAATTCAAATCAATCCCTTTTAAAAGTTGGAATATCATTGTCATTCCTTTAGGTCAACCGAAAAGTCTCGTGCTTCATTCACTTACCTGCAATTCTCGAAGAATAATTTCATTCTAGCTACTAGTGTCAGCGTAGTCGCCCTCCTTCTAGTTATAATTCGAACGATCTCTGCTATTTTCGATATAGACATTTGAAGATATATAAAAGTTAAGGAACGGTCGATTTCAACCTTAATACAATCACATACCTCGCGTTCTATTTCGGACGTGATTTAATAACAAACCCCCCCAAACCGCAACCACGGCTTCTACACTCGCTCCCATTTATCGGGCATCGCCCCTCGATATTCATCTGCGGCCTTCTTCGGGAGACTCAAGTCGAGACCTGCCTCCTTTCCGAATGTCACCCTCCATGAGTGATGGAAGGCAGTCATTGCCAATCATGCCACCCATGGATCCAATCTCTCGACCATCTTCGACCTCAACAGTGAACTCTTCTTTACACCACAGCGCATCACTGCCGCAACTACCTGGTCTATCAGCACTGGCGTCATTAGCTTCGGGTACAAGCTCGCCACAATTGAGGTACGTTCGAATTGCGGAGGAGAATATAAATTGATGTTACTATTGTCTCGGATGATGGAAGGGTTTCAATTCAATTAGAGATAAAAGTTTTGAGTTCAATGCTTCTTGTTTCTTGTGGAATGAACAAAGACAATCCATTCTCGAAGTTATTTGAATCAAGATTGGGATTCCTTGAAGCTTTCGTGGATAAGGGAATGATAGTTTCATATAATTGAATTCCATGATGTACAACATACTAAAGCATGGTTCAAAAGCTAATTTAGCACACTATAGAGCATTCAATGTTGGACAGAGTGTAAATATGGGGTATGCGACATCATCACCATCTGCTACATCCGGAGGAGGGCAAAACAATTCACCAGTATGTTGTATATTCTCTTTTTCCCCTATCACTTTATGCCGCTACACGTCGTCTATTTGTATCAATCTCTTGTTCTATTCTTTATATGGTCATTGTTCAGAAAATCTCCGGGAACATTCTACAATGTCTCTCTCTCTGAGTCTGATGATCTGATCTCCATGTAACTGGTTTATTTACCTTTTTCGTTTTCTTCCTTTCCTAATCCATATTCTCCTCCTATCCCTCCTATCCTACCAATCCTTTGGGATTAATGTGCCGATAAGTATTATACGGTCACCTTTTCTTTCTTGGTCAATCATCCCTTGTCATTTAGTCTTTTATGATCAACCGTACTCGGGATTTTCCGTCCGTGCTTGCCATCCCACTAGCGATATCAGCAAGAGCAACTGCGAGAATTTTCGTTCCTCCCCAATCTCCGATAACGATAGCGATTTTGCAAATTATCATATTATCAATACCACAAATATGGCTACAATGGCTAACAATGATCGCGAAACCCAACAGCCTACCTGTCAGAACTGTCAGACTTCAACGACTCCTTTATGGCGAAGAGATGAAATAGGTTCTGTATTATGCAATGCTTGTGGTCTCTTCCTGAAATTGCACGGGCGGCCTCGGCCGATAAGCCTCAAGACAGATGTTATCAAGAGTCGAAATCGCGTGAAGAGTTCAGGTACTGCTCAAGGTGCAAAGAAAAAGGTATTTATTTGTTCTATCATAATTAATTTTGCAGAAATGACACCTTGACTAACGCGTTCTATCGCAGACTCTGTACGAAGCTAATGGTCTTGACCAAGCGCGATCGCAAGCTGGCACACCACCGCCAGGTTCACTTGGACATAGAAGAGCATCAGGAAAGTCTGCCAATGGTCATTCAGATGGATCGAACTCTCCCATCTCCAGAACTGCGACTCCTTCGATGTATGGTAATCATTTACCCCCATTCAACGGAAATGGCTTGGAAGAACATCATTACAACCATTCCCCGTCTCTTCCGCCTATGCACATCCGACAACCTTCTCCTGGCGATATACGGTCTACGTCCCCATCTATGAATGGTCCGCATGGTCTTGAAGTGCCTCAGACATACGAACAGCTTATCGCCCAGAATTCATCTTTGAAAACTCGCGTCAACGAGCTGGAGGTTATAAACGAACTCTTTCGTGGTCGAGTTACCCAACTTGAACAGGATGAAGCCAATGCGAATCAAGGAGTGGCTATGCTTAGAGAATCAGAGCATAATTTAATGAGTCGACTTGAGGAATCTCAACGTCGTGAAAATCAATTGAAGCGTCGCCTGGATGATGTTGAACGTGAACTCAACGAATTGCGTGACGGGGCACCTCGCGCTAAGAAAATGCGTGTTGCAGATATGGTTGGGGACAGCGAGTCGTCAACTCCACAATCAGTCACTTCATAGTTCAGCAAAATCACCACCACCTCTCATTGATTTTATGCGATTCATGAAAATATCAAGATTGGCGCGTGGCGTTTTTTTTTTGCTTCTTGTCTATGGATGATACCACATAACGAACCCTTTCCTCTACTCTAGTGCAGCACATTGATCCCAATGGAAATTTGTTTGCATTCTCTTCACATCAAACTGCTACTGGTACTCCAGTATCCACCCACATTGATGGATTGTACTACTACAAAAATATGCGCTTCCTTTCTTGCATTTCTTTCCCATGTCATGTTTAGGATCCTCATCATATCACCAAAAAAATTATTCGGGTAGACGCATGGATGGTCGCGTCACCACTTTAATGTCAAAATAATAACCCACCTACCTTTCGCTTTCGGCATCTTTAACTATTGCAATTTACGACACCAGTTTTAGACTTGGACATGCAACAGCATGAAGCCTGTCGTATACTTTACGAATGGCAACGCTGTCGAGGGAAGGAGGAACTCTAAGCTATGAGTTTCAATGGAGAGTTAGGAGTAGATATGAAGTTGTGTTCTTTCTCGCCAGGTTTTCCTCCCCCCTCTGCTCATGCACGACGCAAAAATAAAAGCTCGTGCTGTCCATGCATGTTCATGCACAATCGCTTCCCTTTTTGCAACGAATGCCGGTCAGAGATTCGAATAGCAAGCGGATGGCAGTGTTGTGATATAGTTTAGCCTATGCTGATAAGATGATTGCGTTTTGAGAGCAAAATAAAAGTTCATGGTTCTGAAGACTCTGTTTGTTCTACCTTTCTCATGACATGGTGATGAAATGTGATATGACGCCGCGAATAATTAGCATGCAGAAGAAAAAGATCTCTTATCTATCGAGCCTATCTCTATCTTATCATGCTATCTCTCTATCTCCTTTTCTCCCGATATCGAAAAATCGAACAATCGAATACTTGTGGCTGTATCTCTTAGTGGGCCCCATACCTACGTGATCGACGAAAGCGGTGAAGGTTTCCCACGAAATTATTAGCTAACGATTGTGATGTGTATAACCTAATGTAAGAAGATATACGAAGATAGTATCAGCCTTTATTAGTCAAGCTGGAATCTGGCTTGTATCAATGGACGAGCTTGAAAAGTGTAGTAGACCAACTTAAAACTGTGTTTGTGGGAATTTGGTTCAAGTCGATCTTTATGTTTTAGGAAGAAAGAGATGAGGTACAACAAATTCCATAGTACTTTACTTGCCTTGCTGTACGCTGGTGGACTGACCCCGCGAAATTAGTTGGAGGAAGCGAGCACAAACTCCAATTACCCTGTGTTAGCGATTGTTGTCGCCATATCTGGTTTCCCATCTGATAATCCCATTGACTAGTGCTCCTTCTTTTCGAGCATGTAGTATGTTACTTCCGAGATCTATTCAGATAATAAGATAAATAATGAAAATTAAATTACCATTCATCACCTTGAAATCGAAGTGACATTTATGACGCGAGAGCGAACCACTTTAAAGTCGTGGATCTTCAGGCGCGTCTTCCCAACATCCATCGCGTTCAACAACCAAAGGAAAATGCCATGGCTACTATAAAACCTATTGAAGGCCGGACGGTGAGAATATCTCAGGGATCTTAGCTTGCTATACAGTACTTACTAATGATTTACATATTTACAGATCCATCAGATCCAGTCTGGCCAAGTAATTGTTGATTTATGTTCGGTGGTGAAAGAACTGGTGGAGAATAGTCTGGATGCTGGAGCAACGGGTATAGGTAAGAACATGTACATATCTATACTCTACAGATTTCGCTTGCTAAAGATCAAATAGATGTGCGATTTAAAAATCAAGGACTCGAAGCAATCGAGGTACAGGACAATGGCGGTGGAATTTCTCCGCACAATTATGATACCCTAGCACTCAAACATTATACCTCGAAATTGACCACATACAACGACCTTACAACTCTCCAAACATTTGGATTCCGTGGCGAAGCTTTATCTTCACTGTGCGCGCTCTCAAATTTCTCAGTCATTACATGCATACCAGAAAGTGCCCCGAAAGGTACGAAGCTCGAATTCGAGATCTCAGGGAAGTTAAAAGGCACATCCGTTGTGGCGGCGCAGAAAGGAACTACAGTGATAGTAGAGAATCTATTCAACAATCTGCCAGTGAGAAGACGAGAGCTTGAGAAGAATATAAAACGAGAATGGAGCAAGGTTACAGGTGTTCTAGGACAGTATGCTTGTATACAAACGGGTATCAAGTTTACAGTCTCGCAGCAGGCAGCTAAGGGCAAAAAGACAACAATTTTTTCTACAAAAGGGAATCCTACTACCAGAGAGAACATTGTTAATGTTTTTGGTGCGAAGACTCTTACCCAATTAATACCAATGGATTTACGTCTAGAGTTGGAGCCGACGGGTGGCCCCAGTCAAAGACGGAGTACACAGGATGATGGTGAGACCAAGGACATCCGCATTATTGGTCACATTTCGCGTCCAGCTACGGGAGAAGGACGCCAAACCCCTGACAGGCAAATGTTTTTCGTAAATTCAAGACCGTGTGGGCTTCCTCAAGTGGCAAAGGCTTTCAACGAAGTCTATAAATCATACAATGGATGGGGAAGCACTCAGTCCCCGTTTATATTTGCTAATATCGAATTGGACACTCATTTGTATGATGTCAATGTTAGCCCTGACAAACGCACTATTTTACTACATGATCAGAGTCGTATGTTGGAGAACCTCAAGACGGCTCTTGCTGGACTTTTTGAAGGTCAGGATCATACGATACCAGTGTCTCAAATGCCAGCACTGAAGCAACCGCAATATAAACAGTTGACTATTAATCGAGAGTCTGCTAGTGTCTCCAAAAGTTTGCAAAAGCGTCCGCAAGCATCTCCGCAATCTGCCGAGGAAGATGACGCGGAAGATGAAGTGGAAGAGGAAGAGGAAGAACAAGCTTCGGGCGCAGTCTCGGATTCTAGACGATCTAGCAACGCTCAAAGCACAGCTAGTCAGGATTCTCATGTGCAGTCTAATTCAAAGGCAAAACGTTCTTCTATGTCACGAAACTCATCGTCGCGAGATGGCGCAGCTATAAATTTGATTTCGAATAGGGTCGGTCGTAAGTCTGAGGAACAGAGTGATCAACGACCTGCACCTCCGAAAGCTATGCAAAATATTAACCAAGGTCCGTCGAAGGAAAAGCAAAGATTGATATCCAAGTTTGGCAGGGAAGCTGCTCGGGTTAAGGAGGCCGAAGATGATCTTGCAAGCCCTGAAAGCTCGATTGCGACTGCTCAAGACTCTCAACCTGCGTCCACTTATAGACCCCCTCGACAAATTGCTGATTTTAATGACCGGATGGCTGAGGCTAGCGTCCCGAGAGCAGGGTCAAAAGTGTTAGAAGGCGCTGAAGATCCACCCAGTCCATCCCAGTCAGAACCACCAATTCCTCAACTTATATCACCATCCCCAATTTCTACTCCAGGAGTGTTGAGCTCGCTTGGGAGTAGCCGACCACAACGTTCCCAGCCAGAGATGGCTACAATAACAATAGGTGATCATACTGTGACTAGTTCTATTGGAATACCTCCCTCTAAGAGATTGAAAGTTGACAGTGATTCTGCTTCCGTGCGTGAAAGTGGGAAGCTTCAGCAAAATTTACCTATGCCGTCCTTTGGGAAACGACTTCTCCAACGATTCGGTGCACCTGGGACTCAAACCTCAGAAGCTAGCGATGATACAAATATGATCGATATAGAAGAGCCAGAATCTACGTTAGAAACCGCCGCACCTGATTCCTCATGCAAATCTGATGCAGATGCCGATGAAATTTCACCAACGGCTTCTCCGGTAGGTGAGGACGCTCCTGTATCGTCAAAAGTTCCCCCAGAAGATAATGCAGATGGAGAGGAGGAAGACGGAGAGTACTTGAACGAGAAGGAGAAAAAGGTTCGCGAAGAAGCGAAAGTCCAAGAGATGATCAATGAGGTTGAAAGAACGGCTGCGCTACCATCCGAAGAAAATATTTCTCGTGCAAAATTACTTGTCAAAGGTGGCGCGAAGAGGAAGGAATCCACGTTCAACCTGACACAGACTGTTGACACTACTATTCTCGATATAAGTCAGCAGTTTGAAAATTTGCAAGATGCACTCTCTGTATACGCAAATCAAATTACCTCTACTTCTCAAGACGAAGCTCTCGATTCTGACGGTGCCGAAGAGCGGCTCTCCCTTACAATCTCCAAGAGTGATTTCGCTAAGATGAAAATCATTGGTCAATTCAACCTCGGCTTTATTCTCGCATCGAAAGCCCCTGAACCGATCACTGAAAATGGTGGAATACAAACGGCAGATAATGTTTTCATTATCGATCAACATTCATCAGACGAAAAGTACAATTTTGAACGATTGCAGGCTACTACAATAGTACAATCGCAAAGATTGGTTTACCCCAAAACACTTTCTCTCACGGCGCTCGAGGAAGAGATTGTAGCTGAAAATCTCGATATTCTGGAACAAAATGGATTCATTTTGACCATCGATCAATCATCCCAAGCTGTAGGGGGAAGATGTCAACTTGTCTCTCTTCCTGTTTCGAGAGAAACAACTTTCTCAATCAATGATCTTGAGGAACTAATCGCGCTATTGGCGGAGAGTGGTGGTAGAGCCGGAATGGTAAGGCCGAGTAAAGTTAGAAAAATGTTTGCGATGAGGGCTTGTAGGAGTAGCATTATGATTGGAAAATCATTGACAAAGGGACAAATGGAAAAGGTGGTAAGGCATATGGGGGAGATTGAACAGCCGTGGAATTGCCCACATGGGAGACCTACTATGAGACATCTTTGTGGATTGGGTTTGTGGGATGGGGAGGGGGAGGGGTGGAAGGAGGATTTGGATGGAGAAAGGAAGACAGATTGGGGTGGGTATGTGAGGATGAAGAGGAGGTTGGAGTAGATGGTATGATGGTGGAATGGTGGGTTGAAGATATCGGGGATACTTGTTTTATATAGGTTT